CCCAGCCTCTATAAGTCAGGAACTGCACACAAAAAACTTGGGCCTTTTAATTTGGTCACATATAATGTATAAAATGCAATTCCTCTGAAGCTAATGGAACCAGAGGGAGCACTATGATTATGACTCTCTTAATATATTTTTCCATTTAAAAAGCAGGGTCAGCCTTGAACAGAGCAAAAGGATGAAGTATGACTTAAGTGCTTCAGACTGGTGCACAGGATAAAAGGAAGCAAAAAACACAGTTGGCCTATGAATAACTCCTCAGTGCCATTGCTTGTCTGAGTATCTACTCCGTAAGCTGCCAGGTCAGCAGCAGTAAATAAGCACACTGTGGTATGGCAGTTAATACCCAATCATTCACTGTTGTTGTTGTTGGTTGTTTTTTTTTTGTTTTTTTTTTTTTTTTTTCAAAACCAGAAGAGGTAAAACATTTAATATTATTAGGTGGAGTGGAGAAAAGAATATTTGTCTTTCTCTGTACCACTTGAAATAACACACGGAAAAGCTACTTTGTTTTGATGTGGTTAAAGGGATTCTGGCTCGATCTGTAGCAGTATGGTTTCTCAGTGCCTTTTGACGTCTTTGTAGCCAGCACCACAGCAAGTTTCTCTGTTCAAAGAGCCAGGGACCAGCTTCTCACTCATTTATTAATATTGAGTAGTATCTTACACAGGTTGGCCCTCTCTGTTCAGGATATACAGAAAACCTCTAAGTGGTATCCTTCAAGGGAACCCACTCCTAAAAGCAGTAATTAAGAGGCAAATGCTGCTGACTTATCTCCTGACTACTGCAGCCGAAAGGTACTTCAAAGCATCCCTAAGGATGTCATTCCCAGATAGGTTAAAACTAATCCTGCTCTGAGTCAGGCCTGCCTCTCTCATGCTGGTGCTGCTACTCATCTGAGCACTGCATATCAGTCTGCAGACTTAAACAAGCAGAAAAATTACTATTTTTCTGAACTGGATCACTCTGAGTTGAGACACACACCAGTAACTGCACACGGGAGGGAACAGGAAACAGGCAGGCCTGAAGGGTGAAGAGTAAGTAAAGGGACAGAACTGCAGCAGCGTAGTTAAAGTTAAGGCAAAGGATTGGTAGTGGTACATTTTATATTTGCAATTGCCTTTATTTTGTAATTATAAACAAAAATAAATAAATAGTTGTTTTCATTTTAAGCTCCCTAGTGATAAACTCATGTGAAGCAACAGATACATGGCAAGTTAATTCCTTGACAAGAATGAGGATGGGCCAAGTGGTTATAAGAGAAACGTTTTGAATACCTGCAGAAAGTACAGATCTGGGATTTGCAGAAGCTAGGAGATGGAAAAGATACTTGGAGCACTTACAACTGTTTCCAAGGACCTAGATTTTAATCCAGACATGAATGCTCAGGAACCCTAAATTAAGTCCTCTATCAGCAGTTGCCCCTGTAGGTGTATTTATGCCTGGTTGCTGGCTGAGCTCAACAGGCTGACTTGGGAAAACAACAGCCCTCCTGGCAGACAGGATGGTTCTTTGTTGGCATCCACAGGCATGGATGAGGAGAGCCTCTTCTACAGAGTAGGGGAGTGCATCAGAAAGGGGTTTTAAAACCTTTTTTAAAAGTTGTGCATCATTCACAGAGATGTGCAAAATGAATTGTCTCATTCTGGGCAATCTTCTAAAAGAGGAAGATTTGACAGCGTTTAACAAATGGATGGCAGACTAAGTCATAGATTATAAACTAATGAAGAAGTTTGTATTGAACAATTGTCCATTGTACCTGAAATGTCTTGGCTGAAATTCAAAGGCTGCAAAAAAGTAAAATAATTTGAATCATGTATAATCTCATAAACTGGATGACTTTTTAGGAAGCGTCCAAATTCGTTGAGGATTAAAATGCACTAGTAAACCTAATTGCTGTGGATCATGCCTGCAAGGCTTTTGACAGTGATGTGAAGAAAGATGCTTGAAGCTGTGAAAAGTTGACTGTTAAAGATTTTCTGTCCGTGAAAAATAGAGTTCTTCATTGAGGGAAGAAGGCTGGGGCAGGACGGTGGCTGTGGCTGGGCCATGCTACATGCCAGGCTGAGGGATGTTCTGGCATGTGGCCTTACACAGTGCCTCTGGCAAGGGACACACGTGGGGGGAGAAAGCACATGATAGCAGATAAACCCATATTGTCACAGTGGCACAGTTGGCAAAGATTTGTGCCCTGTTTGCCAGGAGATACTGATTCATGTTCCTGACTGCCATTAACTTGCACGGCCAATTTATTCTAACCTCTTGATGTCTGTTTTTCCCATCTGCTGAAATTCAGTTAATTAACAAGTGAACTGTGATTTGTTCTGTACTTCAAAAACCTGATCTGATACAGAAATGTTGAATAATACTGGGAACTTCCTTTCAGATACTCCATAAAACTTCTCCCAAATAGCAGGTTCTGCCCAGGGAAGGAAGGATGTGCTGTTAGCTAAAACTTCAGATTTCTCTTAGTATAACATGGCCATGGAGCCAAAATATCTGCTTTGAAAAGGCCAAGATGTTGGAAATTTCTTCCTTTCAGGGAGCTAATGTCCAAAATAGTAGTTTCTAGGCTTAGCAGTAGAGGTGTGTGCATTCACTTCATTTCAGACATAAAGGATGCCTGGGCCTTGCTCCCTTCTCCTCTTCCCCCCTCCAGTGGTTTCCAATGATGTGACCCCCTGCTGTGTCCCTAGCTTTGCCTCTGCCTGGTCCCATACTGACTCCTGGTCTCCATTCCTCTCAGGCTTTTTCTTTAGGCCATTCATCTTCATTTCCAAGGCAAAAATGTTTTTACCAAGGCAGACGCCAAGTCACCCAAGTGGTCTCATGCTTTTTTTTTAAGCAGAATGCTCCTGAGTGAAATCTCAAAGAATGTTTAGATCTCATTATTCCCATTTTCTTCATTTCAGATAGCAGTCTGAAGCAGTTTTACCGCAGGCTAGTTATTTTTCAGGTAGTTCTTTTTATCTGAATGTTTTTTATTGCACTTCTAATCTGGTGATAAATATATTGTAAGTGCTGCTTTCCTACTTCTCAGTTCCCTGTTTTGTGCATATGTTTGGCACAGGGATTCTTGATAAGGTCCAACCCTGTCAGCTGACCAAGTGAAATTAATGAGGCTATCATCTGTGCTGCTGAACTTTCAGCATCAGAAAGGATAGCTGAAAAATAAAAATAAATAATGAGGCTGTAGGGTGCGATCAACACACCAGAGGCACAGGATGCCATCCAGAGGGACCTAGACAGGCTTGAGCACTGGGCCCAGGTGATCCTCATGAGGTTCAACAAATCCAAATGCAAGGTCTTACACCTGGGTCAAAGCAAACCCCATTATCAATACAAACGGGGAGATGAAAGGATTGAGAGCAGCTGTGCCAAAAAAGACCTGGGGTACTGGTGGTGGATGGGAAGCTGGCTGTGAGCCAGCAATGTGCCCTCACTGTGCAGAAAGCCAACTGTATCCTGGGCCGCAGCAGAAGCATGGCCAGCAGGGTGAGGGAGGTGATTCTGCCCCTCTACTCTGAGCTAGTGAGACCTCATCTGAAGTGCTGCATCCAGATGTGGAGTCCTCAGTATAGGAGAGACACGGAGCTGTTGGAGTACATCCAGAGAAGGGCCACAGAATTGATCCATGGAATGGAACACCTCCCCTACAAGGACAGCTCTCTCTACTGAGCAAGCTGGTGCTGCCTGTAGAAGAAAAGGCTGTAAGGTGACCTGATATTATGTCTGATATACACCTGATATATATACCTGGTAGCCTTTCTTTATCTAAAGGAGAATAACAGGAAAGAAGAGGACAGACTCTTTAGCAGGGTCTATGGTGATGGAATAAAGTGAAATGGTTTCAAACTCAAAGAGGGCAGATTTAGGTTAGATGTAAGGAAAAAATCTTCTACAGTGAGGGTGATGAGGCTCTGGAGCAGGTTGCCCAGAGAGGTGATTGATGCCCCATTCCTGGAGGCATTCAAGGCGAGGCCGGATAAGGTCCTGGGCAACCTGATGTAGCTGTGGTGTCCCTGTTCATTGCAGGGGAGTTGGACTAGATGGCCCTCAAAGGCCCTTTCTAATTCTAAGGATTCCATGAAAAACTCTCAAAATCCAGACTGACTTTTATCATGCAAACTTGACAGATCTCATCTAGGAAGTGGATTCCTAGATTTCATCTAGAAAAAAATGATGACATTTATGGACAATTTTCAGGGTGGGATTTTAAAACCTCAAATATAGGCACTGTGCAGCTGTAAAAATCAGTTCTGAAACACTCTGGGTCAGTGGCGGAGATTTTAGAAAACTGAGATTTTAACTGGTTCAGCCATCAACCCTAATCCTCTTATCTTCGTGTGTTAGGACATAGTACGTGGTTGAAAATTGTCACCCAAATCCTATATTCATCTTATATTTGATTGATCTATTTTTGTTAGCCTGTTGCCTAAATGGTTAAGGCATAGTTCTTAAAACAACTACACGTAAGAATAATTTGAGTTGCACTACAGAAAAAATACTTTCTCCCATACTTTGCTAACTGCTTTAGTAATTTTTAAATTACTAAATATTCTGAACTCTTGTTTTACTATATTAGTAATTATTATTGAAGCATTACTACTGGTATCAATTAACAAGTGGTATGCCAGTTGGAAGAATGCTATGAATTTAAAGGAAGGTCATTTCCTTGTGTACCAGCTGGGGTAGTCTACAGACAGCAGGTACTGACAGGGAATGGTGCCCTGGGGACAAAGCCTGCGGTACTTCAAAATGCGATGAAGAAAATATCAGTGTAGTTTTCCATGGATGGAAGAGGGAAGATTGCATTTCCCAGCCCAGTTTGTTATTGCTGACCACAGCATGGACTTTACTATTTTCTATGCTGACATTCAAATATTATTTTTGTCCTAAAAACCAGATTAATACACAAAAGATTGCATGCATTTTTAAATAGTTCCTCATGCAAAAGTTGCTTAGAGTTGGCTTTCTGCCTACTTCTCCTTAGGGATCGTTAGAAGCAGCAGTACTTCAGACTTACCGGGATGCATAGAGAAATATATCTTTCTCCTTGAGAGATTTGTTCCAAGCTAATAGCACTTACTGCCAGTGAACATGACTGAAGACAGAGCCAAGAGAAACCTGGTAACTGACAGAAAATATCCCAGCAATGGATGAAGAAGCAAATGAATAAAATAATGAAGTGATAAGTCATACAAATTGTTTCTTTGCTCTGAGTGAAAGGAGAAACATGACAGTATCTGACTGAGCAGGTCACTTTGATGGCAGTCTTCCTAGACCTACTGTCCCAGTAAAAGCTATTTGATTTCATCTGTAAGGCACTGTTTGTTTCAAAAGATCAGTCTCATTCAAGCTTTCTCTGCTATTCCTTTTTAAACATCCATCTAATGCCTGCACCTCTGAGTAATTTTCTTGTCACAGAGAGTGTGCGGAAGACGAAAGCAAACCCCCGCTGCTTCCTCCCTCCCTTTTCATTCTATTATTTCCTTGTTTCTTACACTCTCCTCCGTTTCCCTTTTTGTCAGCTCTTTTCTGTGCCAGTCCTTCTTTCTGGCTGGTGCGTGTGTGTCTGCATATTGTCACAATCAAGAAGTGACAAGGAATAATGCTTTCTCATATTTTTAAAATGGTGTCTTCATGCTATTGGTAGGTAGTCAGATAGCAACCCTGAAAAATAGGTTCTGCCTGCCAGTTAGTGGGAAGAACTCACCCATTTACTGTATATGAGAAGACCTAACACCCCTCCTCTGCAATATTCAGCAGCCAAAATAATGGGAAACAAACACAAATACCAGGTGTCTTGGTTACGTCTCCTGAGTTTCCTCAGTCTTGAAAACAGGGGAGCCACTGTTTCTCTTTCCTCCCCCCTGCTTTCCGCAGGAACCAGAACAGAAGCCGTGTGGTGAGCACACTGGGAGCAGCATGGAGATGGCTTCCTTCCCCACAGCAGACCTGTCAGCATGCCTGGATTTTATCTTTTTTTGTTGATACTATTCTGTGAGTCAATACTGATTCTAAACAGAAAAGGAGGGGGGGTCTATATCAGTCAGTTTGGCATTGATTCAGTTTCACCAATACCTTGACTTTTTATTCAACATAGCAGTGAGGTCTAGAAGGCCTGGCTTGCTGTGTGGTAGTTGTTGAAGACATTTCTGAAGATCAAGCTCAACTTGGATGTTCAAGAAACTGAAAAACATGCTGGAACACATGAATCTTTTATTTCTAAGCAATCTTCATACATCTTCACCTCAAAGGTAAGCAAAACCACTTTGGCTTCCTCGTTGTATTCTTCCACGTAGGATGGAAAGTCTGCATTTCTGCAAGGACTGTGCCGTGCCTAACATCACAGAACTAACATCTATCTAAACAGGAAAACTCTTGCTGTGCTACACTTACTCTACAGTTTGCAAGCTTCTAATCTGCCCTTTCTGCCTACCTTGAGAGGAAATGTGGTAGTGACCTCATTTGCAAATGCAGAAACAGTGACAGCAGAAGAAAGCTGCAGGTTTGCAGTCTGTCTTCTGCTTCAGTTTTCTGCCACTCTTATGCTGCGCAGCTCGCACATACGTAACTGTATGGTTTAGAGAGAGCTTTGGGCATAAACATCAGTTTCTTGTGTGTCATTTCCATCTTTTTTTCTTTCCCATTAATTAATCTCCAAGCCTGCTTCATGTGCAATGGACCTGAGAGAACACTGCTAAGAAGTTTTCAGTGACAGTGTCTAACAACCAAAGTCCTGTCTGCACACAGATTGCACTCTTAACAGCTCTGCTAATCCTCAGTAGCTGCCAGGACTCTGGTTACAACATCAAACCACACATGAAGAAGTAGCAGTGCCTTATCACCTCCAGATCATCAGGAAGTGCCACCCCCACTGCTACATGCATCAGAGAGAAAGGCTGGGGCACAGGCCCCTCTTCAGGCCTGGAATAGATAGGGCTGCTTCTTTTAACCTGCTTTTTAACACCAGAACAAGCAATGCACAACAATCTCTTACAGCCGGAGGATGTCATACGTGTGCAAAGGTGCTCTCATGGCATAGTTTCTGCTAAGAGCAGGAAACAGGCCACTCTCACCAGTGCAGCTATTGAACATAAACAACTGCAGTAATGCCTGCACTTGAGTAACTGTTCATGTTAAAACAGCGCTGCTCACTTACTTACAGTAAAGACCGGAGTAGATCAGGCCTCTTACATATGTATTTTCAAACAAACTCGTACAGGAGGGAAGAGCTTCCCTAAATGGAACTCAGCCCAACCCCCACCGCACACAAAATGGCAGTGCTGCTGCAGCCTGCAGCTCCTGAACCCATGGAGGTGGTACAGTCATGGGCATGCAGCACAGTGCCACACACTGAGAAGCCTTTCTCTTGATTCTTGTCTGCTGTATTTTATGCAGTTTCTTGGAGATTTGTTGTAATTTCATGTCTAACCAACTCCTAAAGCATTTTCACTTCTGCTCTTGTGAGCAGCAGGGAAGAGATTTAGTGGAAAAAAAAAAAAAGTTTTAAGGAAGTGACTTTTCTAATTTCCATTTTCTTACAGAATATTTCTTAGAAAATGTATTTGATACGTAAATTGGAAGAACTTGAGGCAAAATTGGTTTTACACGCGGTAAAAATGTATTTAGAGGAGGCATATCGTATTTTACTGAACCCTAAATATTGCTTTTTTTTTTTTTACACTGTAGATATAAAATATCCTTTAAAGGAGGTGTGATAGATTCTATTAAGGTCCCATTGCCAATTTCGTATTTATCAAAATAAAAACATACTACGATTGAGCCATAAGGAAGAAAGAATGCAAACTCACATCCATCCTGAAGAAGGCAAGAAGAATCTGGAGAAATAAGGTCAAGAAGCTCAACTGCACTTTCTGCAAGAGTTATGGGCAGAATTTTCCTACAAGCCATTTCTAAATATGGGAGAAATAAGGTGATTGGGAACCGCCAGCTCAGAATGATCAAGGGCGAATTATGCCTGAGCAACCTGATTGCCTTCTGTGATGAGATGACTTGTTCAGTTGTGGAGGGAGGAGCGCTGTATGCTTTGATTCTAGTAGGACCGTATTCTTTGATACAGTCTCCCATTATCTCCCTAAAGCCAAATTAGTGCGATATGGATTGTGTAAGTGGATGATAACATGGGTTGAAAATCAGCTGAGCCAGTGAGCTTGAAGGGTGGTAATCAACCATGCGAAGCAGAACTGGTGACTGGTCATACAAGTGGCATCCCTCAAGGATTCATGGTGAAGATAAAACTGCATAATATCTTTATTCATGACCTGAATGATGGATGGAGTGCACTCTCAGCAAGTTTGTAGATGCCATTGGAGGTAGCAGCTGCTATGCTAGGAGGACAGGGCTGCTGTTCGTAGGGCTTTGTTCCAGAGATGGGACAAGCAGCCACAAACAAAATGGAGCAGGGGAATTCCTATCAGAGATACAGAAAAAACACAGGGGTGGCCAAATCTGGTAAAGTTCCTTGGAGATTTCAGAACACAAATCGACAAGATATGGAGCAAGCCAATGTGTGTGATTGTTTTATTTAGATGCCATACTTGGGAGATCTGTTTTCCACAAATACTGTGCCATTACAGGTTCAGGATTCACTTGGGTTTATCATCAATCAGGGTCTTCATACCTGGTGCTTTCCATCCAAAACAGAGGCATCCAATAGTGAAGGATGTTTTTGTACTTTAAGCTCTGAAAACACTGTCCCTTATTTTCTGCACTTTCACAATACTTTTCTAGGAACTATGTCTCACTATTGGCATTAGTGGTACTTTTTAATATCTTCAGCAGAAAAGTATCAGAAAGCTATTTAGCAACACTGAAACAGAGCATAAAGATACCCTTCTTTTAAAACAAAACCCTTAGTAATAGTGGCAGCTGTCTAAATTAGAACATGTGGGAACCACCACAGTTCTTCAACAGTTCATCACCTATGGTAGTTCCTGTGAGTAACCACAGCAAGCAAGAAATTCTAAAATGGCACATACTAAGGAAGCTGTGCTTCTCAGCTGAAAATTGATAACGCTGCTGAAGTCCTGTAGCAGGAAGGAAAATGTCCCTGAAATGTTACAAATATTAAAAATACAGCTGTTGCAAAATGGAACTTAATCGTGTTATCAAATAAGATGAGCTCTGCACCAAGCAGGATCTACTAAAAGATATGCAGTTAAAGAAAGTAAATACTACATTTTGTTTCTTAAATATGTTTAAAATGTGACTGCATGTTTAAAGGTTATTAAAGCTAGATAGAGGAAGCACAACACCTTTTCAGTAAGAAAAAAAGCATTTTGAAAAACATCAGCTTTTAGACAGACACAGACATGATTAATGGATTTATCAGAACATTATACTTAGTGTTGACCAAAATACAGTTCAAGCTGAAGAAAAAACAAGAAGATGTATATACAGACTGTCCTTATTATACATTTTCAATCTTGTTCATAAGATACCACAGTTTTGGTAATGGAATCTATCAATCTTTATCTTTTTGCTGGTCCAGATTCTCTACCCCTAAGCTGGAGCAACAGCACATAGGAGCAGTTCTGAAACTCTGCAGCTGACTACACCCAATAAAACAGAAGCTTGGATCAACTCAGAGACTTCAGAAAATCCCATCTTCTTCAGGAAACTGCAAATAAACAACTCAAGTAGTCACTATGAACCTAGAAAGGGTTAAAAGCCTTTGCTAAATAAGAAGGAAGAGGTTAGCCCTTAAAGACTATATAAGCTGCAAAACCTGGCAGTTGTGGCTTGTTAAACTGCTGGGAGGTGGAACTGACGGCTGTGCAGCCTAAGTGGGGAAGTCATAAAAGGGAAGCAGAGGGCCCCAGAGGGAGTGGGATAGCTGAGTTTTAGTGTTTCTCTCACTAGGGGGAATTTACTTTGTTTGAACTGAAATGGGCATGGCTACTGCTAGATGCTGATCACAGTAAGGCTTTTAGTTGGCTTGTTTATGGAGAGTCAAACAAGGTGAGAAGAAGAAGCTGTCCTGGCCTCCATCTCATTTGGGGTGGTGACTAAAGAAGCTACCTCTGGCTGTAATAATTCCCTAAGCCTATACTGGAGTGAGCTGTCTACTGTTTTTTAGCCCATCCTGCTCTCTACCCCCTTCACACTCCCCTCCCCCCTCCAAAAAAAAAAAAAAAAGCCCCAAAGCATCACTTAGGACAGATGCCTGGTCCCTAATTAGGGCTGATGGCCTCTCTGTAGGCCTCTGGTTATGTGTTATGCTTCCTGTTGAGAAACAGAAGAAAATTGGTAACGCTTAAAATGAAATGTCAGAATCTTTTCTGCTTAAGGAATTATTGCACTGATCTCTGTAAATTAATTTTAGTTTTGCATTTTTAGTTATGTTCCAGAGATTGTTTGAAATCCTCTGCAATGATGTGACATTCTGTGAACTCTCTAACTCTTGGTGGCACATCTGAAGGCTGGCAGGCATTGCTTTCTGCCTGTAAGTGCATAGAGCCAGTAATCATTTCCACATACAGAATGTATGTCTTCTTATAAAATCAGAGCAATTAAAGAATCTGCATGTTAAGTAGTTGATAGTTACTGCTTTTCTATTTCTCCTTTTCTGTTTTGAAAATAAATGAAATATTTTGTCTGTGTGGACTGCTCTTATTATTTCCATCATCTCTTTAAGATGCATTCTTTAAAAAAGCAGCAGTATTTCACAACTAGGGGCTAGATTTAAAGTAGCCCAGCTTGGCTTGAAGTGACATGTGCTCAGACCAATTTATAGAGTAATGGAACAATTTATGAGTCTGCCTTAGCTGAAATTAGTTTCTGTGGCAGTTGGCCCAAGGAAACTCTGTGGGCCTTCTGTTCTTTGCAGCTGCAGAAAATAATTGTAAAGGGGAATATTACCTTCCAGTAGCTAGGCAAAGCCTCAATTACAAACTGTGATATCCCTTCTCCTAAAAGCAGTGAGCCTAACTCACCACTGGAACTGCTCTTAATGACCAGTGAAACAAAAACCAAGTCATTCCTATACATGCTGAAATAAAGTGTCAAATTAGAAAATGTTATGTTTAGACAATAAGGCTAAACAAAACCTTGCTGGAGGTACCAGTAAGAGTAAATAGTCTTTAACAGTGAGCTTGCTCATCCCAGTCTTTTCTCAAATGCTAATGAGAGGGCTAGCACCTGTGTTTCAATATATTCTGTTGATGAAGTCAGTTAAAGACAAGCCTTCATTAGCATGGGCCTGGTAGCTCATTCTCTCCTTTGCTTTCCCTCGTGCACCAGCTCCAGCTGAGCATCTTGTAGCAGATGTAGGAAGAAGGACTTTTACCAGTGGCAGAAAACAATTTATACAGGCATAACAAAACAAAACAGTTTCATCTCCACTGGAGCTTCTAAAAACTGTTCAGTGCTGCTGGCAATAGTAAACTGCTTCACTCAGGAGCTGAGTACATTCAGTTTAGTCCACCAGCATACCTTTAACAGAGTTCCCAAACACTGTGAATTGACCCTGACCGTGCCCTCCTATTCAGTCCTTATGCAGTTCAAAAGCTTTATATTCAGCCATCAAAAAGTTCTGGACACACTGAAGGAGTCTTAAACACTATAAATCTGTGGGGGGTGGATTTCTTTAAAGTCAAGTGGGAAGTGCTGCTCAGGACTTGACATACGCGGTAACTCAGAGAATTAATCTCCTGTTCTCAGAAACTGTTCTTACCAGATTGGAACCTACAGATCCTGACTTACAATGGAACATGAATGCAATTGTGGAGCTGCATTGACCAAGAGAGACCTCTCCAGAGGCATCACACACAGCATGCACTAGGTTTAGTTTTTTCTGAAGCTTTTCAGTACCATCCCAGAATATCTTTCATCTTCCACCACTGTATATGCACCATGAACCAGCAACATATACTGACAGCGTCATATTATAACAAAAAACACCAATGTTGTCAATGGACTGAAATAAAACTATTCTGCCTGGCAGTCCTCGTCTTGGCATGAAGCTGATGTGAGTGGTAGGGTAGTGCTGGGAAAAAGAGGGAGCCCAGAGCTCCAGCTGGAAGGGATCTTGAAAGCTTTCACTGGAGGAAAGGCTGAGCCACAAAAATAAATGGGCTGCAAGAACACGTGGGTGTTTGCACAGGCTGAGGGGCTTAGTTTAAGGCTTGGCATACTGTCAGGGGTAGGGTGAGGTCTGAGTCTGTGGTTAAGAGAAGGAGAAAGCCAAGAGCTGCAGCTGGCTTGGGGCTAGAAAGTGGCTGTCACAGGGAAGTGTAGGCTGCAAGGAAAACTTGGCCACAAGAACCTCCTGGTGCAGGCACTGGCAGGGGAGCATGACCAAGGGCGAGGGTTTGCGCGAGGGGTAAGGTTAGGGCTGAAAGAGGGAGCCTGGAGTTGCAGCTGGGCTGGAGCTAGAAAGGAAACTTGAAGAGAAAAGGCACAGTGTAGAGAAAACACAGCAAAAGGAACATGTTACTATGAGCACTGGCTGGGAGTCCTGGTCCTTAGATCTGTATTAAGCCTAGTATTCAGGCAGGGACAGCCTAGAACCGCAGGTGGATGCAGGGAGCGTGCCAAAGGAAAAGGTGGACTTTGAAAAGAAGGTGGACTTTGAAAAGAAGGTGGCTTTGAGAAGGTTTTGATGCAGGCACTGGTTGGGACCCTGCGTGGAGGTTTAGCGTAGAACTTATTATTCTGAGGCTTATTCTCAGGGTTACTGTTAGGGGTGGAGGAAAGGGAAAGCCCAGAGTTCCAACTCAAAGGGTTTTAAAATGGAAGTCGAGAATGTAACAAATCTGCAGGAGAAACTTTTACCACTTTTATCCACTGATAAAACACAGTCTTCCTTGGAAAGGTTTCACATTCGCAGGAAAGAGCTCTTCAGAATCTAGGCCAAGAAGACAGCAAAGTCTCCTGGAAGAAAGAAAAGAACAACTTCTTGCCCAAGACTCCCCTTCCCTATAATAA